ATTGCTATTGCCTATATACTTGAATTAACTGATATGTTTCTTTCAAAATTTCTCTAAGTATATCATATTCTGAGACCTAGTCTCAGTAGAATGCAACATAATCACTTATAAGTATTATCTCACTTTTCCTAAATTCTAGAACAGGTCATATTGCCCGATATTATTTTCTTAGATTAATTTATTAGAATTTGTCTCAATTCAACACCATTCTATACTAATGGTCTCAGTCCCCACTTCTTTGCATTTTAGACATTACTTTCTCAATAAGTGAAGCAGGAAATCGCAACAGAAACCCTATTAGTAAGAATTCTCAGTGAGTAGCTGCTTGTAACCCTGGGTGAGAGGAGGCGTTGGGCTCTTGCCTGCGTGCCATTCTTATGTCTCGGTTCCCTGTTGCTTTGGTTTGATTACCAATAGAGTTAATAATTCTTCTCTGTAAACACAATTGAGCATAGATAGCATAAAATAATAATCATACCTAACTTTCTACAGAGGTCCAGTACAAAATGAAAGTTTTTAAAAAAGAAATTGTATATAAAAGTATGAGGCTAATTTTATGACAGCCTAAATTTTAAAAGTCAATGTCATGAAACACAAGAGTTGCAAGTACCTCGTGCCCTTATCCCTGTGCATTATGACTGCAGCCTACTTACTCTGTATAATGCATATAAATAGAATCCTACAAAAAAGAGAGAGATGAAATGAAATGTAAATTCCTAAGTATCTTAGCAGAGAAGACAATTATTTTGTTTCTTTTATTTCATTATCGGAAATAGATCATGGAAAATGATATATTATTTGGGAAGTATTTAAAATGAATTTGTGAACTCTTTCTAATATGGAGACTAACCGTTTTGTTGCAGTAATTAGAAACTTCACATCATGTAGATATTTCTCAAAATATATAGGTGATCACAAATAGAAAAAGCATTTTTAGCCACCCAATCTACCTAAAACTTCAAAGTCTAAAAGTTAGGTTTATGCTCAGTTATGACCTGAGAAGTATTGAAAATATGGCAACTCTATCGTTTGGTTTTGGCAGAATTGTGGACTAGAAGTCAAATAGAATATATTTTCTTTGTAAAGCTGAAATATATAAATAGGTTCACATGAGAAAATTCCCCAACACAAACCACCAAGGGATCCACAAAACTTTGTCTCTGCAATCAGCATATCAGCATGAAATAACCAAAACAGAATTACTCTTTAAATTATATATACATATCTCATTCAGTTTCTTTTTTTGTATTCTTATTTCAAAACAAATAAAAAATTTTCAAGAGCTTGTTTTTGGGTAATATTGTCATTGCAACATTACCTGATTTTGATCTTGTGAATCAATATATTTTCTTTTATATTTTTCTATAGATGGATACCCCAAAAATGAAATTGAATATAAATGGAAAAAGCCTTCTGTAGAAGTGGCTGATCCTAAATACTGGAGATTATATCAGTTTGCATTTGTAGGTTTAAGAAATTCAACTGAAATTGCTCACACAATCTCAGGTAAGGATGAAATATTTATTAGTGAATTGCACTAGCACAAATAGCATTGATATTTAAAAGTATGGGTCACATTTTTTCTAGCTAAAATGAGGTATTATATTTTCTTTCAGGGGATTATGTTATCATGACAATTTTTTTTGACCTGAGCCGACGAATGGGATACTTCACTATTCAGACATATATCCCGTGTATTCTAACAGTTGTGCTTTCCTGGGTGTCCTTTTGGATCAATAAAGATGCGGTGCCTGCAAGAACATCACTGGGTATGCTACACAATGTCTGGCTGACATAGCACAAGACTTTAAATATTTTAATGTAATAAAGGTTTGTAGATACATATACTAGAAATATTCCACCAAACTTCAACAGAAACTACTACAATACTAATTTCAAAGGAAAAAAAATATATATTCTTTACTACACTATTTGTAACATATATTTTAAATATATATTCATATTCATATATATTTTATAAATAGTATAGGAAAAACCTTAAAATTTCAGAATATTCCTTATATTGATCAGCACTTTCTATTGCTTTGCATCACCGTTTTTTTAGCTTTTAGCTCAATGACTGATAATTACATTCATTTATTTTTTTAAACTGACATGTTTCATTTATTCTTCTTTTATTGATATTAATGTAAAAGAAATAGCAGGTTAGTAGGACAGTTACAATAATTAATATATTGCATATTGTTGTCTTCATATTAGTTGTTCAGAGTACAAGATGCAGATGTGATATCTTGTCTAAATACTATTAATACAAATCTTTTTTCTCATTGAACTAAGAGAAAGTAGTTCTCTATCCTATTTTGTATATATATATATATATATTTTTTTTCACTACAAAATGGTCCTTCACTTATATCTCCCTTTTTTGTTTTGTTTTGTCAGAGATTGGTGTTTCATTGCCATTCAAATATTGTATTTGTGTGAGTTCAGCAAAATAGCCCAAAATAGTCCAATGGTCCATAATAGTAGTGGATTATCAGAACTGGCAATATCAGAAGTTGTTGACTTGAGCCTTTTACAGCTCAGCATATTAATATGGCTTTACTTTTTATACCTCATGATTATACTTTTCTGCTGGTTGGTTAAGACCAAGTTAAAGCAAGGTCAGTTAAATCCCTTCAGGATTTACCCTGAAACCATGTACAACAGTTTGTAGGTCTTTTGTCAGTGTCAGCCATGTGGATGAGTCATACATTAATTCAGTAGTGTGTGTTTGGATGACTTTGAAAAACTTTGTTTTCACCATGTTGCAAATGAACAATCAACTCTTCTAAAGGGCAGGTCCCTGAAAAGGAAGAAGAAGCTCCCTGCCTCTTGGGAGGCATGAAGTGCGTAGTTTATCAAAGTGTATCTAAGAGATGTGTATGAAATAACATTGATTGAAAGGGTAATTTATAATTCACCCTCATTAGAATGGAATTTTTGTTCTATTCCTGTATCAATCTATTTCAATAAAAATATACTTATAAAAATAAGTGGTTAATTACTGCACACATGTTTAAAAGACAATGATAATTAATTTGGTATTAATTATCATTATCACACAAAACTTATTAATCATGTGATTCATTTCCAAGATCAGTGTAGGACTTGAATAACATTGTTGTCATTTGTGCCTTTAAAAATTATAGTTTAGAAATTTTCTATTTTTAACATTAAAGATTTTTCTGTGTGGTTCCTATGAAATCTGGCAAATGCATCAAATAAAGTAAATTTTAAAACATGTAAAGGGGGCAGCAATAAATCTGAAGCATCTTGCTTTGCCCTTGGTGATGCGGTTTTCCTGAGAGTAAGGTCTTGAACAAGGGAAACCATAAAGGAAACACAATGATATTTGAAGTTGTCATACATCTTCTTTTGAATATCTCAAAAGTTTTCTTGCTATCATAGTTGCAGAGATATTTTAATCAGAAATTCATCATGTTTCCACATTAACCACTCTAATATTATTTGTTAAATTTAGGCAGAAAATTCTGAAAGTTAAAACCTGTTACAGTTGTTTTTCCCTTACAAAACATAGGTCGTAGTGTTATAACAAATTAAAATTTATTGCAACCATTGATAACATAATCAAAACACACACTAATTTTAAGAATTTGGATGCAAGAACAGAACAATATTAACCAAACAAAATTAGTTTTTTATATCTTGATCTGTCTTGTGTGAATGTTGTAATTTAATGTTTCTTCTCAAAATATGTGGACTTTGATAGACATGGGAGATTGGAATTCATTAGTTTTTTTATGTATTTGGGACAAAGTGTATAGGGTCTCACTACATAGATTGGACTCATAGTGATCCTCCTGTTTTCAGCCACCCAAGCACTGGGATTACAGGGGTGCACCACCACGCCCAGTCTCAATCCCTGTCTCAGTGCGCCCCTTGGCTAGGGCCATTACAACAAGCCGGGAATTGAACCCAGGCCACTGCACTCTGCCTAAGCAGAGTATTTTTAGCATTTCCTATATATAAAAACTTTAAGATGTAGCTTTGATTACAAAATCATTAAATCAAAAATTATCAAGAATAATGGAAAAAAGTAGACAAAACTGTAACTATAATTGGATATTTCAACATCCTGTTTTCCTTCTGTTACAACTACAAGAATAAGACCTTAATCAAGGTGTAGAAAATCTGTGTGAAATTATCACCTACAGAGCAGCACACATAACATCAGTGTACATAGTATTTACAAGTGCGTGTTGAGTATCAATCAAGATTTCAATGAAATTTGAATGACTAAAATACTAAGTATATTATCTGCTGAAAATAGGAAAAGTTAAAAGTTTATAAAAATAACTAATAATGGTCTTAAATATTTTGAAATAAAAATGATCTTTTGTATTATTCAGGTGAAATAAGAAATAGGAGCTGGGTGAGGGGTGCAGGCCTGGAATCCGAGCACCAGGCAGCCTGAGGCAGGAGGATTGTTGATAGTTTGAGACCCGCTTGGGCTACAGAGTGCGCTCAAGGAAGCCTGAACTGCATAGCAAGACATTGTTTCAAGAAGAAAGAAAAAGAAATAGAAATTTAGAAAATATTGCAACTGAATTTCAATAAGAATTTAGCATAGAAATGCAACTAACACATTACTTAGAAAATTATATATTTGAGTTACTAAGATTAGAAAGGAAGACTTAAATTCATTAAGTATCTAAGAGCAAAAAGTAAATTAAACCATTTCTTGTACTTATTATATGTAAATGTTACTGCCTCATTTTTTTTAAATGATAGGAGTTAAGAAGATTTGTTTAAGATCACAAAGTGAATACATGAAGTTACAGATTAAACTTAGTTTTACCCCTCTGTTTTTTATTTGTTTTGTTTTTTTTTGTTTTGTTTTTGTTTTTGTGGTATGGGGGGTGGAACTCTGGACCTTGCCCTTGCCAGGCGGGCACTTAAGCCACAGAGATATTTCCCCAGCCCAAAGATACAGTTTTTTTGTCTTTTTTTTTTTTTTTCCTTCAGTACTGGGGATCAAAGTCCTCAGGATCTGAAGCTTGCCAGGCAGGGACTTATGCCACTGAGCTCTCTCCCTGGCCCCAGCCTCTCTGATTCTAAGAGCATCTCATTTTTTTCTTTTTCTTATTTTTTAAATCTCTTTTCAAAAATCTTAATAACTAATGAGAATAAAGAGATGAATATGAGAGGAGCTATTAGAGCATATTTCGATGGAGTCATGAGAGAGTCATGGATACTGTCCTCACCACCAAGGACTGTATCTCTTGTAATGTTTCTTTCGTTCATTATAAAAACCATTGTTCCATATACATTCCCAAATTTGAGAAACATTCAGCATTATATTTAATACCCTTAAGAGAGGGCAGTATTTTTTGAGATAAAGGAAGAAAACTATAGCAATTCAATAAGAAGCAATACCAAGTGCTTCTATGATTTTGGTGATGAGATTAGTAATTATAAGGACCCAAGGTGACCAATAGGTAGGACAAACCAATAAGATACACAGGAGTGAGGCTCCTGAAGAGATCTCAATTACATGTGCTGAAGTCTTATACATAGTACTTTTTAATGCAATGTTTTTGAAAAATCCTTTTGGTTTGATTTTATTCTTCACTTAAATTTGAGCTAAAAATAGATTCAAGTTATGTAAGGAAACACTATGCTATCACTGTATATGGAAGAAGATCTCCAATCGCTTTTGCTTCAATTTGAGCAAAAAGTGCTTATATCTCATGTGCAAGTTCAGAAGTATTTGCCAAGTGATAAGGCATATCATAGTATCTGGGATTCAGTTTTGTTTGTAGTTTTCTGCTGGGTCATTGGTCACTTGGACTTCCAAGATGCTCTGTGGTCTAAGAGGGTTCTGTGCCCCAATCACTGTATTCCAGAAGTATATGAGGACTGAGGACAAGAGGAAGAAGGCAATTACCCAACTATCTAATGCCATCTTTTACATGTTGTTTCCAATCCATAGCTCTGTTTCACTACAGTATAGCATGTGCTTACACTCCACTGCACAAAAAGGTGACAGACAAACACACACCAGGTAAATAGTTGATAATTTCATTGCTGTGGAGGAAGGAAAGGAAACACATTGGGAGTCACCTTGCTCCACAGTAATTTAAATGATTAAAATTCACAGACACAAAGAAGGCATTTAACATTGTGTAGCTATGGTTACCAGTAATTCTTTCTGTAAATGACTAGTAATCATATCCCTTTGTTTCCAATGTTTATTTCAGTTCACAATATTGCCACTGTATGGAAGAATAAAAGCAATCTAAAAAATTATTTTTAATCTTCTGTTTTTTGTTTTTTTTTTTTTCTGTTTTGTTTTGTTTTTGTCTCTACAGGTATCACCACAGTTTTGACTATGACAACCCTAAGTACGATTGCCCGGAAGTCTTTACCTAAGGTTTCTTATGTGACTGCGATGGATCTCTTTGTTTCTGTTTGTTTCATTTTTGTATTTGCAGCCTTGATGGAATATGGAACCTTGCACTACTTTACTAGCAACAAAAAGGGAAAGACTACTAAAGACAGGAGGATAAAAAGCAAGGCCTCGGTATGTTACAAAATTTCTATTGCATAAACTTCATTTTACCTAACATTTCTGTTTTTGAATATTCATGTTATATTTGCATAAGGTAAAAATGATGGTTGAGAGCTTATGACGAAAGGGAAATCAAATAAAGTACAAGTGGAGAATTCAGCATTACCAAGAAAGTATATTTGTATTTCTCTGGTATTTTTATTGAGTATTTCTTGTAAAGGATTTCTTATACTATTACATTTTCCACATGTATTATACTCTTTGTACTTAAAATACTATAAAATATCTCTCTTTGATGATATTTTGTATCAGGATATTAATTTATAACAATGAGTGGCCCACAAAATTACCTTACTCTTAGAAATTAATATATTTCTTTAAATTTAGAATATCATAGACACAAAATTTTTATATTTTGCATTTGTACTTCTTTACTTTTCCTTCCCAATTATATGATAACATTGATTTTATTGATTCTGATATACTTAAGCACTGGCTGATTTATTTTAATTTCTTTTTATAATAGCAGTTATGGAAACATGAAAGTAATAGCGAACACTTATTAAGTCCTCCAGACAGTGCTCTGAACATTTGACATGAATGATTCCATTTATTTTCAGAGCATAAATTTAAGAATCAGCTTTGAAATTTGCACAAGGACAATTTAATAAATGAAGGATTCAGGACTTAGAATCAAGTCCATTTTGGTGCCAGAAATCATGCTGCAAATATTTTGCTATATTAGTCTTTTCCCGCTGGACTCTAAAAGTTAGGCACTTATTTCTTTAAAATTAAAAATTGCCTTATCTCTAGGTATAGCAAGTGTTTCAAAAGCAAGTTTGATCCAAAATACTTGAATAAATGAAAATTGCATAAAACATCTGTGCATGGCTGGCAAGCATATAAACCTACCCTATCAAACATACAAGGGAGCATGAAGTCTGACATTTTTACTTAACAGCATTAGAGTTCAGTGGGGTTTTCCCCGTATCTATGTTTCATCAATCTCTTTATAAAATTTTCCTTACTTCTAAAATGTATCTCATTTTTCAGAGAGATTATACTTCAAGTGTATACTCTGATATATTTTGTTTTGTGATTATCACAATATTTTAAGAAACCAGAGCACGTTGCTGGCAGTGCAAAATGGAGATATTGCATTGTACAATTAACCTCTGAGTCTCCCAGCATAGCACTTTATCTGCAGGAATGTGTCCCCAGTGGAGCATATTAGAGACCAAATTGGTCAGCCTTAGTATCCATTATTAAATCTTTAATTCTGTATGATTTTCTACTGTTTTCTTTAAATTCAAGCATACTACCAAGATTTTTCCATTTACTCAGCAACAGTAGTGTTTCCTTATTACTGTCAAGTCTTTACTTCTAGAAATAATTGGAGTGATTGGAACTGCTTAGAATAAAAACAATTAGCACGATAAGCCAGATAATATCCAATATCACGTTTTTTTTCTATTTTTATTCAATTTTTATTTTCTTTTTTTTCTACTTTCCAATAATGTCTACTGTAGAAACCATTGCCATATAGCGGAAGGAGAGAAAACTCAAAAATGGCTACTGTAAGGGTATCAGCTAATCAATTTGGCTTCAGATTGTGAGCTCTAGACAATAATTCTGGATAGCATGCTTACTCACAAGAGCTAAAACATGGTTGTGCTAATCCTAAAATTATGTCATTTGATCTTTTAAATTAAATGCATACAAAAATGTCTAAATTATTTAATTATAGAATAATTACTTAAGAGAAAATCATTTAGAAGCTTCGGAATTTTGCATCAAACCTAGAAAAAAGAAAAAAATAAAAGAAGGATGATTAAGGAATATAAATTAAGTGACAGCCACACATTGTGGCACATGCCTGTAACCCTAGCATTCTTGAATGTGGACACAAGAGGATCACGAATTTGAGCTCAGTCTGAGCAACTTAGGAACTTTGTGGGAACTAGTCTCAGAATAAAAAATGAAAGGAAGCAGAGACAAAAGAATAAAAGGTGGGAATATAGCTCAGTGTGATGAGTCTACATTTAGTAATGCAACTCTAATGCAACAACAACATATTTATACAGCCATCCAACAGTCTCTCCAGCTGGTCTATCCTTCTATTGCTCTATGATGCTTCTTATATTATGAGTACTTTCATCACCAGGTGACAGCGATGGAAACAAAACAGGGATCAGTTATGAAACTTGCATTCCTGCTTGGTCAGTGTTTAGCTGTTTGGTCTTTTTAATTTGGTAAATCAGAATACTTTTGTGAGGAACAGACAGCACAGCTCCCTGTACTGTTGCCACAAATCTCCTACTGGGGGCTTTGTGGAACCCACATTGCCTCCTCTTCCAGCCAGGACCATTAAAGGTGCTGCTGAGATCTGGATGTCTGGAGGTGCCCTGTGCCTGCTCTTAGTTTAGTTGTTTGTGCTTTCATCTCCTCTTCATCTAAGTCTGCTTCTTTCATTTTCCTTCCAAGTCTTCCATTTCTTTTTGAACAGGTACAAAATTATTAGCTTGAAATCTAAGTCACATTCTCTTTGGATCATTTATGGCAGTAGTGAGGGCTTGATGGAACCCTGGCTGGAGTCATGGAAAGGCCGTCACGGTGGCTGCTCAGACGGGCTACAATCCCCTGTGTGACTTCCCTCTGACTGCTTACTAAGATTCCTAAAAAACTCTTGTTTGTTTCCTTTAAGTAGAAATGAGATTTGAATGTAATGGATCTTAAGCTTTAATGAATCCTTTGAGAAAATCATAAACTAATAAAGATGTTATCTATCATCCTCTTCACACTAAATATCTTTCTTTCTTTCTTTCTTTCTTTCTTTCTTTCTTTCTTTCTTTCTTTCTTTCTTTCTTTCTTCTTTTGCTTCCTTCATCATTACTCCCCTCTTC